TTGGGGATGGAGCAGGACACCTGTGCCAGGTGGACAAGGGCAGGGTGCCCAGACAAAAGCAACAACATGCTTCTGCCGGGCAAGCAGTTTAGGGACAACATGACCCAAGGTGATAGCTGGTGCCATATGTAGGGCCTCAGCCTGGGAGGCAGGAAGTCAAGCAAGGTACTGCTGGCTGGGTTCCCCTTGCCTGCAAATGGCCCTAAGTGGTTTATGATCCTGAACAGATAGATAAGGCTACTGTATGGAGGAAACTCTAAATGACCAAGTAGTAATTTGGCTGGGAGAAGCAGGAAGGCTTAGAGAACAAACAGGATCCCACCCTGGGGCTCTCTAGAGCCTTTTGTTTTGTTTTGTTTTTTTGTTCTTTTTTTTTTTTTTTTTTTTTTTTGAGACAGAATCTCACTAGCCCAGGCTTGTCTTCAAGTCACTATGTAGCTAAAGATAACCTTGAACTAATTCTCCTGTGTTCACCTCCCAAGACATAGGATTACAGCCACGCCCTATTGTGCCCATGTAGCATTCTATCTATCTATCTATCTATCTATCTATCTATCTATCTTTAAAAAATTTATTATGTATGTAGAGTTCTCTCTGCATGTGTCCCTGCAGGCCAGAAGAGGGCACCAGATATCAGATGGCTGTGAGCCACCATGTGGTTGCTGGGAATTGAACTCAGGACCTCTGGAAGAACAGTCAGTGCTCTTAACCTCTGAGCCATCTCTCTAGCCCTATTTACTTGTTTATGTGTTGCTACTTTGCCTGCATGTACGTATATGTATATCTGATGCCTTCATAGATGAGAAGAGGGCATGAGATCCCCTGGAACTGGAGTTATAGGTGGTTGTGAGCCACCATGTGGGTGCTGGGAACCAAGCCTGGGTCCTCTGCAAGAGCAACAAGCACTCTTAACCACTGAGCCATGTCTCCCTTGCCCCTTATTTCTCTATCTCCCTCCTGCCTCCCTCCCTCCCTCCCTTTCTTCTCTTTTTTTAGACATGCTCTCACTATTAGCCCAGCTGACCTATAACGTGCCTCTGCCTCCCAAATGTTGGGATTAAAGGCAGGCGCTACCACACTCCGTTTTGTTGTTATTGTCTCTCTATGTCTCCCAGACTGTTCCACATCCTCAGCCCCTCCATTGTCTCTTCACTCTGGGTGATCCTCGACAGTCCACTTCCTCAGTCTAGACCACACCCCTCCACCCAGGTAAAAAGGTAAGGTTGAAACCAGGTATGGAAACCCACACCTGTAATCCTAGGAATGGGAGGTAGCAGTGGGAGGGTCAGAAGTTCAAGGCCAACTTCAGCTATATGAGGAGTTCAAGACCAGCTGGGGTTACCGGAGATCCTGTCTCTAAAAATGCAGGGGGAGGGGCACAAGGATGTGCCTCAGCGGGCAGAGTGCTTGTCTGTCACACTGGAGTCCTGGGGTCCATTGCCAGCACAGTGTAATCTTGATATAATGGTGCAGGTGCATGCCTGTAATTTTAGGCCAGCCTGGGCTAGATGAGACCCTGTCTTAAAAACAAACAGAAGCAAAACAGAACAACAGCAACAATAAAAAGAGAAGGGAAAAAAGGCCAAGGTTGAATGAGGTGACCCTAAAGCCTTCTGTTTGGAAGGTCTTAATCCACGCCCTGAATGAGCCTGGCCACGGCAGGAAACAGATGGTAGCTTGTCCTGGAGAGCAATTGCCAGTGTTTACAGAGAGGAGGGGTGTGGGTGGCCTAGGATTAGAGGAACCCCTGAGCCCCAAGAATGATGGGAAGGGCCAGGACCTACCTGGAAGGTGGAGGAACAAAACCCCAGAAAGAGCCAAAGGGATACAACGTCCACTTCTGTCATCCTGCCCTGGGCTATGCCTAATCAGAAGCCAAACTCCTGGACACACAGAGGACAAGAATGGGATTTTAATTTTGTTTTTAAAGTTTTTGAGACAGGAAGGGCTGTCCTCAAACTCCTTATGTAACTGATATGACCGTGAACTTCTGATCCTCCTGCATCTACTCCTAGAGTGCTGAGATCACAGGGGTATACCATCACAGTTTATGGGGTGTTGGGGATGGGACCCACAGCTCCTGCATGCTAGGTGAGTGCTCTGCTCTTGCTTTTCATTTTCATTTTAAATTACATTTAGTTATTTATTTTCCCTGAGTGCTGGCTTGCAGGCACAAACCTTCATGACAGACTTTTTTAAAACTGTGTTTCTGGAGACAGGCCCCCCAAATGTGTTCTGGGTTCCCTATCCACTCTGTTACACAGCCTCGTGGTCCCTGGTGTTGACCCATTGAACCTAGATCTGCAGCGTCCTACATCTGCCCCATTTTGGGGTACTTGGTCCTTACATCAAACCCCCTGGACAGGTCCAGGCCAACTCCTGCCCTTGACCAGGTGAGCCGTTCCCTTCCACATCACAGACCTGCCACAGAGATGCAACCCACTTCCTTGGGACCCTGCCAGGAGCTGAGGCC